TATTTATTTCTATTTATAGATACATATATGTATATGTATAACTGTCTTTCACCTTTACGCTTGTAATTGAATGTGTATCTTATTACAGAGTTGGGGCTTTTTTAATCATTTCAGTGAAATCTATCCATTTTTTACAAAGAGATGGGAGAGTACTGTATCTGCTCAAATATATATAAACCCACACACACACACGTATATATGTATAATCCTATATATCAGATATTATAATGTTTAGATATCATTTTGAAAAAACACACTTATTATAAATGAACTTATAGAGAGGCCAATACATTCTGAGAGTTGTAAAGGCAAAATTTCAGGGTTTTGCATTTTGTATCTGTCTTAGAAATATATCCTTAATTCAACTATTATAAACATATTCCTAAGGTTTTCTTCTGATGTTTGTTTCATGTTTATTTATTCAATTCGTCTGTAATGTATTTTGGGGCATATTATGAGATAAAGGCCAAAATGTATGGAATTACAAATGGATAAGCGGATAAGTATCTAATAGATATGAACAAGAAGATTTAGTATTGTAAAAATGTCTTTTTTTTTTTTGAGACAGAGTCTTACTCTGTTCCCCAGGCTGGATTCAGTGGCATGATCTTGGCCTCCACCTAGTTCTAGTGATTCTCATGACTCAGCCTCCCAAGCAGCTGGGATTACAGGCCTATGCCAACATGCCCCGTTAATTTTCATAGTTTTTGTAGAGACAGGGTTTTGCCATGTTGCCCAGGATGGTCTCCAACTCCTGGTCTCAAGTGATCCACCCACTTCAGCCTCCCAAAGAGCTGGGATTACAGGCATAAGCCACCGCGCCTGGCTAATTCTTTCAAAAGTGATCTATAGATTTAATGCAACTCCATTCAAAATGTCAGTGATATGATTTAAAGAACTTGACAAATTGATACGAAGATTTATATGGATGAGGGAGAGTCTAGTACAGCCCAGTCATATTTAAAGACACATTTAAAGACAAAGTGGGCATGTCACACCTCATGATAAAAAAGTTGTAAATCTATAAAAAGACAGTCTCATTTGGAAGTAGATGGAAAAACAAAAGATAAAGTCGACAGAGACACCGACCTCCATATATATGAAACTTTATAGAGGTGACAGAGTGTACTCCAAGGGAAAAGCAAATGGAGTAGAGATCTGGTTGTTAGTGTGGGAAAAGTGAAATAAAATGGCTAATCATCTTACATAATAGCAATCCTCTCTAGATAGATAAAGGACTTACATAACTAAGTCAAATTTTAAATTCTTGGAATAAAACATAAAATAATATTCTGACCTAGTGGTTGGAATGTATCACTAAAATATGACAGTAAAAGCACTAGACACCCACAACATGCTGTTCATCTACCTATATGTAATTACAATTTCTGTTCAATATTTAATACTCTAAAAAGGGAAAAGCAATACAAATTGGGAGAAGAGATTCACAATACATGCAGCCAACCAAGAGTTAATGTAAAACTTAGATCGGTAAGGAAAAGCAAAGACCCAGTAAAAAAGGGAAAATAAAAGTAATTATCAAACACAATCTGCAGAATATCCCATCAAGCAATAATTTTAGTATAAACTGCAATATTCTAATTGTTGCATTAGTAAGGTGTGACATGCAACACTTTAATATGTAGTAGAAATAATGTCTCTAATATTTCCATGTAAAAGTTAGCAAATATATGTTACACTTGAGAAAATAAGAGAAATATTATCCTATAATTATATATGTATCATATATATAAATAACAAGTAATTAAGAAATTATGTATGAATAATTGTTTTTATATTTTATAGTTTATTCATAATTCAAGAGAAAGTGCAGATTTCAGACAGAAGAAAATTTCAGTTTATATTTTAATCTCTATTTAATGCTTGAAACAAAATATTTTGGGCATGATCTCTAGAAGAAAAATCACATTTTTATTAATTAACCCCCAAAATCCACTGGTGCATGCATATATAGATAGTTTGTAATGAAGTCTCTAGAGTCTAAAAAAAAAAGAACGTAAAATTTAAAGAAGTAATTTTGTTTTTCTTATTCTACTTACACCAAATTTAATGATATTTTAATTTAATTTAATTTAATTTAATTAATTTATTTATTTACTGAGACAGAGTCTTGTTCTGGAGTGCAGGCTGGTGTGTAGTGGTGCAATCACAGCTCACTGCAACCTCAAACTCCAGGCTCAAGTGATCCTCCTGCATCAGACTTCTGAGAAGCTGTGACTACAGGAGCATGCCACTATGACTGGATAATTTATTTTTTATTTTTTGTGGAGATAGGATCTCACTTCTTTGGCCTGGCTGGTCTCAAACTCCTGGGCTACAGCTATCCTCCCTCCTCAGCCTCCCAAAGTGCTAGGATTACAGGCATGAGACACTGCACCCAATCACAATAATGTTTTTAAAATATCAGTCAGAGCCTTATAAAAAAATTAAAAACTAGTCAGTACCAAAATGACCTAAGAAATTTAAATGAGATTTTTTTTTTTTTTTTTTTTTTTTTTTTTTTTTTTTTTTTTTGAGATGGAGTCTGGCTTTGTCACCCAGGCTAGAGTAAAGTGGCGCAATCTCGGCTCACTGCAACCTCCACCTCCCGGGTTCAAGGAATTCTCCTGCCTCACCCTCCCAAGTAGCTGGGATTAAAGGTGCCCACCACCACATCCAGCTATTTTTTGTATTTTTAGTAGAGACAGGGTTTCACCACCTTGACCAGGCTGGTCTTGAACTCTTTACCTCGTGATCCACCCGTCTCGGCCTCCCAAAGTGCTGGGATTACAGGTGTGAGCCACCATGCCCGGCCAATAAATTCTTATTGATACTATTCCACTATATGTTCTTTTTGCTTTCTATGCATATCATAAATATTAAATTATCAATATTACAAACAAATAATGATCAGTAGGCAATATTTATATTTCCTATGTTTGAAATTATCTTACCTGTTTTCATTGAACTATTATGGAGACAACTGATAATTCACATGCAGTTGCAAGAAAAAATACACAAAGATCATGTGTACCCTTTACTCAATTTCCCCAAAAGGTAAAACTTGCAAAAATTATAGTACAATATCCAAGATACTGTATTAGGATATCGACATTGATACAATCTACAGGTCTTATTTACATTTCCCCAGTTTTACTTGTACTCATTTGTGTTTGTGTATAGTTTTATACATTTATATCATATATGTAGATACATGTATCTGCGAACATGATCAAGATACTAAGTAACTATATCAGTATAAGGATTATTTTTATTGTCTTTTTGTAATTACATCCATATCACTGAAGCAATCATGCTCCACACCATCCCCACCCTAGTCCTAAACCCTGTCAAACAGTAATCTGTTTTTTCTCCATTTCTACAATTTTGTAATTTCAAGAATGCTATAGGAAATAATATAATATTTAACCTTTTGGGACTGATATTATTCATTCAGCTTAATTATGTGTGTCAATATTTTGTTCCTTTTTATTGCTAAGTGTCACATTTTATGAATGTACCATGGTGTGTTTATTCACTTTTTGAAGGACATCTGGTATATTTTTAGTTTTGAGCTATAACAATGAAAACTGCTATGAGTGTTCATGTACAGGCTTTTCTGTGAACATAGTTTAAATTCTCTGTGATGAATGTCCACAGGTCCAATTGTTGAATTGTTAAAATTTAACTCTGGTTAATTTTTTAAAATGTTATTTTTTGTTAGGATAGACTAGGTTATGATGCAGTAATAAACAGTCATTTATTTTCAAGGCTTAACAAAGTAATACACAATGCATGTCCAAAGACAGTGAGTGTGACAGATCCATTAATTAAGATTACTCAAGAACTTGGGCAAATGGAGGGTGTAGTCAAGATTTACTTGTCAAAACAAATAAAAAAATATTGGTTACTAGTTCACAAATCCCAGAAGAAACCTGATATATTTCTGCTCCTATAAATTGAGAAAACAAGAAAAGGGAGATGAGGAAGTGCTCAAACAATATTTTTGAATAGCAGTAATAATCATTCATTGTCAACTAAACTTCAAAAAATTATTCAGATTTATTTTTGTCATAAAATGATGTTTGTTCCACCAAAAAGGTATAAACACTTAGTAGCATTTCCTCTCCTGTGACTAATGAGCCTTTTACAGAGTTATCAGTGAAATCCCCAAAACATTCAGATCCTGACAGAGATTTATTTTGTTGGTCAACAGATTACACCCTACCCAAACGGGAGTGCAAATAAAAAGGTGTAGCACATCCAACCATTCTTCAGTTCAATAAATCAATATCTGCTATGTCTATGCCCTGGATGTAATCCTGTCTTAGAATAAAGAGGTTATTAAAAAATGGAATATACACTTACTTTTCCTTTTTAAAAAATATTTAATTATTATTTATGTTAATTTCCCAAATTTTAAAATATTGGAACTGATCACAGTACTTAAATAGTTCTATAATATTTTCATCTTTCCTTAGAAATCCAAAGTTTTTTTTCCTATAAACAGTTAAGAAATATAATTCAACATTTAATTGAGTAATATAAACATTAATTAGCTATCAAAAGTCACATTGAAGAGTCTAAAATATTAATGAACCAAAAATAAACCCAAGGGCCAAGGGGGGTAAAGTGATAAAAACCTAGAGCAAGTTAGCATTAAAATTTGAAGGAAAATGTTTCACTGTATCCCCAGAAAAGGTAAAAGTCATCCATAAAGGAGACTAATTTAAACTCAAAGGAATGAACACACACAAACACACGCATTAAGCTAGGAGACAATTATAATTTAGTCACTAAAGAAACCTGTAAAATATAGTTTAAAAACTGGCTAAAATAATCATATTCATCAATAAATATGCAATTTCAACATTCAGCTAAAGAAGAAAGAAATTTTCTAAAACAAAAATAAAATTTTGTCCAATCATGTTTAGTTAGCATAAAAGGTCTGGAATGGTTATGATGACATTTTATTAAATAAGGCAAAATTTAAGTATAAATATTGAGGGTCACGATATCTGTTTAATTGGTCACCATTATGAAGTTTCAGTTATTTTTAGAGTCATGGTCTCCATCTAATGGATCCTAAACAATTCAGCTGAAGAGAAAGACAAAGACAGAAATAGAATGGAGACAGTATAGGGCATGGAGAAATAGAGAGACAGAGAGAGAGAGAGAGAGAGAGAGAACGCAAGAACTTAAAGTTTAACCAAACCAAATATTTAGTAGAAAAACATATTTCTTTCTTTTCTAAAAAGCTGAGCTGGACTACTCCTAAACCATCCTGTCGTTTCTCATAGCTATATAGTTTGATCCCTATGCTTTCTAAAATGTTACTACCTAAGTCTTGGAATTAATTCAAGTTTATAATTTAATTTGTATTGAATTACTAATTGTTATCATAGTTTAACTTTTTAAAGCAAATATAGGAATTTGTGAGATTTATTGAGAATATAACTTCACTAATACAGAATGGGATAGCAATGTGCCATTGTGCATTTTAAGTGAACCATAATACGTTTTTTTTTTCTTTTTTGTTCAAGGAGAATTTGAAGCTAAATTTCAGAAACATATAAACCTATTCTTGTAAAGTATACAGCTCATTCAGCAATGCACATAAAGCTGAATCACCAAAGTATGCTGATTGATCAATAAAGTTTGTGGCTACATTTGTAAAATGGGTGAAAATTAAACCATTTCACTATTTGGTTCAATAAGTTGAGTGCATAATGGTTCAAACAGTATTTTATGCATTTTAAGTCAAGTAAATTGTACATTGCAAAGTAGTCAACCGTGAAAACATGCTATTTCAGTGATTAGGTAAGAATATTAAGTTTGAAATAAAATTAGTAATTTAGACAGATAATTACACAAAATGCTGGTGAGCCACTGAATTTTCTTTTATCTGTCTCTAACCTTTAAAAACCTTTAGTATCTGAGCTTCTTTTATACATAGCTTTTCTTTGAAAGCTACTTGATTGTTACTGGTAGCAGGCATGAAAATGCATTTATTACATTTGTAAAATTTATAACATATGATAGCAATTTATAAGTTTGACACATATTGATGTAACTTAAATAACTAAAATCATGCTTTAAAAATCTGATTATTTATATGTATGTGTAACACCAATAGTTACTTCCAATACCAAGAAATTATAACATGGTATGTGATAAGGTAGGTTTTTCAAAAAAGATTCAACTCTTTCAATTGATTTTCCATGTGGTTATGGTTATAAAATGAATGTCTCTTTTGAATGAGGGTTTTGGAAGAGGCCATTTTTTTAGGTACTATGGTTCAGAGACACCAAAGTTTCAATTACGGCAGCATGTAGAACCTTTGATCCAAAGGCTCCACCTGGAAACACTGGTAATAAGAGCAAGATATCTTTTCTAGTTGCAAGCTGTCAGTGGAATGGTGAGTAACAGACTTAAGCAAAAGAGGATTCAATTGAACAGAGGTTTATAATCTGATACTTGGTCAAGACTGGACATAGAAAAAAATATATATCAAGATTGCCTTTCTCAAGGAACCTATCATTTTTTAAGAAATTTAATCTTACGTACAAAAGACAAAGCAATATGAGACATTAAAATATAATTGTAATGTCCTAATATCTGTAAAAGCAACAGGTGCTATGACATTTCATAAATGGGGAAGGCTTTGTGAAGCTTACGTAATTTGAAATATAAATAAGATTGTGAAAGAAGAAATGAGCAACATCTGCAAGTCTTAACCTTGCTATGGCAAGAGGACAAGAGAATAATAGAAGTTTCAAATGTAAGTTGTTTTGGAAACAGTTTAGTCAACCTTCTCATGTCATAAGAATTGTTTAAAATAATTCAGCTAGCTACCTTAAGTCTTTTCAATTCATCATGTTGCCCACAATATGCTATAGAAGATTAGCAGTTAAAGTTGAACAGGTAAAATATGCCTAGATTTTGGGTTGGATTTAATCTTATCATTGGAATTTGCTATAGGCTTTTAGAAATAATAGGGACATGGGAATTGGAGTATTTTAAGAAAATTATAATTTTTTTCTAAAAGGGTTTAAGACAAATGGAGATTACTGACAAAAGATTAATTAGTTCTTCAATGACCCAGGCACGAGCTTATGGAGAACTAGAACTAGGTAAGTATTAACAGAAATTAACTCTTGCCCTACCCTAATGGAAGAATCATGCAAAAGAGGTGCAAGACACCGGAGGTGGCCAGCATATAAAGTCCTAGGATCAAATTTAAATGCCACACTTGTCCTTCAAGTTGCCTGCTTAGGTCTCATCCAAGTATACTTTTCTTTCTTTCTTTCCTGTTCTAAAGCTCCGAAATTTGCTTCAATCTCTTTTTCTGCCTTATACCCCTCAGTTGATTTTTCTTCTGAGGAGGAGGCAAGAATTGAGGTTTCTGCAGAACCATATGGAAGATTCAGTGAGGTGAGGTTTGCTTTGTGCAGAAAGGGAATTCTTAGCATAATAGTATAAATGCTAAGTATAAATATTTATATTTAATCATTGAATATTCAAGAGGAGATATTGTAACTAGCCCAATAGTTTCATAGATAGAATTTGTTTGAAATTGAATTTTTTTTTAATAAACAGACCTTCCAGTCTGAAAGACTGAAACTTACATTTGTTTTATCTGAGTACCTTCTTCAACTGTAACCCCAGGGCCTCTCAAAAAGTATCAAAAAAACTGAAACTCATTAGATTATAGCATCCAGACAATGAGATGTCCCTCATTAGTCATAATTGCTCCCTTACTCTACTCAAGTTCCTGTTTTCTCACACATAGTTACATTTCTTCCCTGCTATATAAATCCCCAATTTTAATTGGTCAGGCAGATGGATTTGAGACTGATTTCCCTTCTCCTCATCTGAAGCACTGATTAAACCCTTTTTCCTTGGCAAAAATCATTCTCTCACTGATTGACTTTCTGTGTGGCTAGCAGCAGGAACCAGATGGTACCCTTGGTGCATCAGTAACAATGACAACTACAAAGTTCAACACAAGAGTCTTTGCCTCAGGAGGTCTGGTAGTATTTGAAAAATGAGCCAAGAGGTAAATAAACATATAAAAGCTACTGAATGCATACGACAAGAATAGATCTGATAGAAAATTATGAATTAAAAAAAATTATAGACTAATCCTGAGTCTTGGAAGGGGAAAAGAAAATGGGAATGCAAATCAGAATCTAAGTAAAGAAAGTATTTCAAGGGACAGGGAGTGATTAACTATGCCTAAAAATGGCCAGGCCATTGTATAAGATGATCTGAAAGGCAATCATTTTCTTTAGGAAAATGGAAGACTTTGCAATTTCACTCTCAGTCTCGTGGTGAAAGACTGGAGTGAATTAAGAATAAAACGAGACTTGAGGACATGCAGATAGCAAGTACATACATTTTAAAAATAGTTTAGCTAAGAAGAGAAAAAGAAAAACATAAAAAACTGGAGAAAGATATAAGAAATCAGATTTTTGAAAGATGGCTAATAGTGTAACTTTGTTTTAGGCTAAAACAGATAATCCAATAGAGAGTGAAAGACAGATGGAGCTGGAGAGTTAAGAAATCTTGACAGATGAAACACATTTAAATGAGTGAAACATTGTGAGGTCCAAAGCACAAATAGAGTGGTGTCTGCCCTTCTCAGTGAGAGCAAGAATTGTTTATCCATTACATGTGAAAAGAAGCCAGAGGATACCATGAGTACAGATACTAGTGAGGCGTCATTGTCACCATGTTGGTACAATTTCATATTCTAATTTGATGATTTCTATTTTCTTACTAAAAGGAAGCCAACGAAAAAGGAATCAAATATAGAGGAGGAAAGGGGACAAAAGGAAGAATAATATCAGAAAAGGAAGATAGAGGTGCTGGTAAGCCAAAAAGAGATTGCCTATTAAACATAGAAGTGATTTGCGCATTATTTTGGAGAAGAAATAAAGTTTTCTAAAATTTATTAAAGAAAACAGAACTTTCAAAGAGTAATAAATTAGTCAGAAACACAAAATTTTATGTTTATATTTTTTATATCAATGTTTCCATGGAGTTAAGTGGATATAGCTAATTTATACATGATTAAAAGAAAAAAGAAGATTAGTTTTACTTGTAGCTGACTTCATTAAAATATTCTTCCTAAGCCATTTGGAAGGCAAACCTCTAGGTAATATTACAGGATGTTAAAGTCATTTAAATACAAATAATGTATGCCATATTTGCATTTAACAAGTTAACCCAAGTTCATCCTACCTGTAGGGCTTTTAAAATGTTATTAAAAAAATAGATAAGCAAAATATTTTTTTAAGTATTAGACTTCAATTCTCAAAACTTAATTTGAAATGTGGAAAGACATGCATTTTCTTTGATCTCGGTTGGAATTTTGGGCTGAAATCCACATTTGAAGCTGATCTGTGAACTGTGTCTTGTATAACGAATGGATTCATGGTGAAATCCTTTGGGCTCGTTAGTTTTCTTCTATGGAATAGTGATGCTTCTGGGGTAATGTGATGGTCCACAAACACTAACACTAAAAATGAAATTTTTAGATGGTTAAAAAACAAGAAACAGAACAGTGAAATAGTGTACCTGGCCATGTTACTCTTTCCATGCAATACATCAAAATTATTTAGGCTTCATTTAAAGCAGCAAAAGGCAGCCTGATTAATTCAATGTATGCCTCAATGATCCTCAGCCAAACTCATGGTTGTGACATATGAAATATAATTGGTATGAATTGAAATAGTCTGTCTTCTTTCAATCTTTCATAATAATCTTACTGTGTTAAGGCTAACATTTCTTCATAGTAATATGAAGATTGGTGAAGTTTTGTACATGAGGAAAAAAGGGGCATGAAATTTAAGGCACAGTCATCGTGTGTGGCCATTCTTGCACTGTTGTTTGAGTGATGTTAAAAGGGTTATCTGTCTTGAAAACATTTGATGTCTCAGGTGAACACCTGCTACCCCCAAATTCACTATGTTATACCAATGCATTAGTATGAATTTGTGCATTTCATCTCCAGAAAGCCACCACTGAAATGTTAACCTGTTCATCAGTGACACTATTAAACAAATAAATTCATATAATTAGAAAAACTTAGAG